GGGGTCACAGAGTGGAATGTTCCAGCTCGCGGGTCATGTACCGCTACATTGTTCCGTCGGCAGTATAATCCACATGTATGCACACAAGGCATGCTGGGAACAGACTTCTGACATGCAGTGTTTGGAAAGTCTGCGCCAGACAGAAAAGACTGGGAGGCGAACGTGATGACAGCGGAACAGAGCGCCGTGTTCACGTCAGGGAACTTTTAATCAAATTTCAGATTCCTTTTTTTTTTGTTAAGAGAAGCTCGACTTTTTAGTCTCGATCAAAAAAAAAAAAAAAAAAATCTGCTTCAATAGAGACAGCGGCTCAATACGGACCCCATAAATGTGCCTTTTATAGTCTGAATGAAAGTCTAATGTCAGATATGAACTCTGATTCCAACAGAAATTGAAAACAAAAACAGCTTGAGAGAGAAGTCAGTGCCATGTCTACTTTCACACCTCTGACCTACAAGAAACAATAGATCGTATCACTTAGTTACTTAGAAAAGAGATAAACCCCAACCGGTACTAAGTACACATTAATCAAGATTAAAATACCTTCATACCAATCAGGAAAAAGTACTTTTACACGTGCCAGTCACAGTAAAAGATGGACTGCAAGTCATTGTGCCTTTTTTTAGCAGCAGATTTGCTTTTTAGAGAGTAGAATAATTCCAGCTGTGGTTGGAGGGGTAGAGTGGCAGCTGGATTACAAAACCAGACGAATCTCACCACCATTTGGCCGACGGCTCCGCGTTCATTTTTCCACCCCCGACTACAACCCTTTATGGAGCAGACACTGAGGAGTTGTCGGTGTTCAAATTTGCATTTGAAATTTATGCGATTGGAATATCAAGCTCTGGGTTATGCGCATCGAGTAGCTTGTGCAGACACTGACCTCAGCTGGTGCTCCCGCAGGTTGGACAAGGCCTCCATCCCGTGGAGATACGAGTAGACGATCTCCAGGTCCTGAGGAACAGAGGAGACGCGTGGTTAGACACAGGAGCTGAGAGCGAGAGCTTTAAAGCTGCTATACAATCAATATTGTCACATGAAAAATGGATGGGTGTATGTAACGGTTTTGATTCACTCGAAGCACTCTGATCGACCTCTTTCCAGCCGCAGCTGGCAAACATGTTCACTTGTGAACATAGTGAAGCATTTAGCTGCTGAAGAGCAGATATGTAAATAAGCAACTGTTTGCTAACAATATCAACTATATCAGGTTATCATATACAAATACACAAAGTGGTAAGGTTGAGACGTGTCATATTTAGTCCACACGTGATTTAAAGATCAATCGTTTCAATCAACTACCTGCTTAACGCCGCTGCTCGATCCCAACGAGCAAAACGCGTCGACAAAAATTGCACTCAAAAGGTAGCCGAGTAATGATCACGCCGTCGCTCTGACACTTAAAACTACTGATTATCCATTCAGCGGTGGACAAACTGGCAACCCGCACAACAGAAATCCTTTCACGCAGACAGCGACATTGATTTATGCGTCTGAGCATCGGATTAGAAAGCAATAAAGCACCTCGCAGAGGAAAATAAAATAAAAGGAACTATGCTGCACAACTATAAACTCCCCATTCAATTACTTCATCAAGTGACCCAGTGAGTGACTCTCGGATTGTTTGGCGTGAATCCTAGTCAGAGGTGAAACAAAGTGGCTCTCTCTGAGCGCTGGCAGCCAGTACAGCAACTCCACTGTCTGCTGGTACCCACTGGCTCTGTGTGTGTGTGCGTTTGTGTGTGTTGTGATGCTGGTTGCAGCTACTGGGATGTCTTTGTCGGTGGCAACTGGAGGTAGAGTGAAGAGACTGTGTTCAGATCCCCTCCAGACACAAACAGACACATGAAATCACACAGAATGGCTACCTTGTCTCTGGGTTGCATTTCTGACCGCCGCAATCATAAGCTTATTAAAAATGGGATGAAATGTTTACGACAGAAGCTGAATGACACTCTTGTTTGTGCCGGTTTGGTTTCCCAAAGTCTGTGTCAGTCAGTAGAGGAGAAAGTGCCAGAATCACACCAATGTTAGAAGCTTTGGAACATTTAAAGGGTTGGACTACGGTAGAAAGAACAGAGTTCCTACATGTGACCGCTCATAACAAGGTCTGTGGATTATCTCCAATAACCGGGTCGTGATTTCAAATGTGGTTTTTTTGGCACTTTATGTGCCATATTCCCACTATATTCAAGAGAAGACAATATCTACAAAACTAGGCGACTCACAACAAAAAATGATAAATAGCAAAACAGGTAAGAGGAAAAATATGTAGTTTTGATTTTGGGGTGAACTTTCCCTTTAAAGTTGATTTAAGAAATAGAAAAGAAAACAATAGAAATTTCTGCAACAAAACAAAATCTTTTTTTCAGTCCAACAACTGCAAGAAAATGCTGATGTGATGTTCAATGTAAGACAACTCGTATATGATATACTGTATGTATAAAATACAAACTGTAGCATCCGACTAAGATCCTGGTGAGTCAAAGTCTGATAAAAATCATCATTAGAAATATTTTTATAAATATCACACTCTACAAAAGGATGCATGAAACTCAGCTGCACATGACCTTGGATTAACAGAATAAACAACCATTAAGCAAACAAGTAACACGCCCAGAATGTCCGTTTGCTGTGGAAAGTGAATTCAGAGGTTCCCATTAGAAACAACCGAGTGGAAAAACACTCAGTAGCTGGAATAAGTGCACCATGTAATTACAATAGTCAACAAACATGTGACGCAGAACTAGACTGGTATCCAAACTGGGTTATGAAACCACTCGCCTGGGTCTCGGTCCCTTGACGTCAGCACAGACTCTTTTTGTTGCTTGGGTTTGTTCTTTATGAAGCGGACCTCGTGGGCTGCCTGTTACATCACACAGTGATATCCTCACTAACCAGACCCTGATGTTCAAAGTGTCTGTGGTCAGTGGAACAAGCACTGCACAGGAGCAGCTGTTCAACAGAGCCAATGTTCAGACACACGCTGCCACCTACTGGGGGTCCAGGGAACCGCAGCCTCCAGTCACTGGGCACATTTGGGGATATTGAGCGGCAGTAAATGCCAAAGCACGAGATGCTACAATGAAAATGTCAAAATCATTTATAGAACATTAAGAAACGGATGCAAACTATAGGTCAGCAAGCAATTACTTCAGTATGAAGGTGACCATTTGGGTTAATAGCATGTGTTTTACTTTGACCAAATGATTCATCGACTAATCATCACACATGAATCGACAGTTCATTTAGAAGAAGGGCCCCGATTCACAAGTCTTTTTGGGTTCTACATATTTAAGAAACAAGTTGCCTTATTCCTTCTTTAGATTAAAACTTTGACACAATAAAAGTATCTTGAGGTAGGGATGGGACGGTATAGGATTTTTATAGTGGATCAAGATTCTTTTATTGAAAACACAGTAAGCTGATTGCGGAGAATTTCTAGTATTGGGATAATCGTGAAAAAATCATTACATGAGTGACTTGAAAAAGTCGTCTAGCTCTGTATTATGGTGGAGAAGTGAAAAATAGAGCGGAACTACAACAATGATCAGTCAGGCTCTTCACCCAAAAAAAAAAAAAAAAAAAAAAAAAAAAAGTGTTTCCAGTATGTTGTAGTGCCGTTTTAAACATATCGATGATTATTGGGATTTAATAAATTGTAATTGTTTTTGCCAGAGTAATCGTTGAACCTCATTAAAACTTTAAAAACCTAGAACTTAATGTTTAGCTGAGAAGGAAACAACAGTATACATGCATAAAGTATATACACATATAAAAAGTGATTACTCGTCTCTCAATCGAGTGGAGAAGATGGAAAGAAACAACTCACAGATGGACTTTGACTGTGGAAAGAAGGAATTCACTTCTTCAGCAGCGAGTATGTAATAATGCAGGCACAAGGTCACCACTAGGAGGCGGTGCTGCAGGTTTCTTTTCTCCTCCACAGTGACGTCACAGTGAACACAGCGCCACTCAAACGCAGCCTCACAGGGAGAAACATGCAAAACCAGCAATTGTGGCTTCAGTCTCAAATATTTCAGATTGAGTGTCTGGAAAGAATGCGAAGGACCCCATCTTTCCCCACTCACTCACTCACTGGGCCCTACAGTTTCTGGTCGGGTTTTCTTCTTTTCTTTTTCTCTTTCTGGTCTCCTTTCAGACGGCGCCAAACACAATCACCACAAAGTGCACAGGAGAGGATACGTGATGGTTTTAGGACATGGAGAGGATTAAATCACAACAGAATCTCCACTATTTCAATGAAGGTTTCTGTGCTTTTTCAAGCAATTCATTTGTTTATTTCAAACAATTTAACGCTCAAAAAAACAAAACACCGAACATGGACTTTAATTATTCTCACAGCCGATTTAGAGGCTTTTGTTTCTTAGTAGAGAGATCAAAAGCAGAGGGTGTTTGATCTACGCTTTCATCATCACCACATCTTTGGCTGAAGGCAGCAGGCTACCAACAGAATCTCACAGAACAGAAAACAGATCAAGAGCAGTGGGCAGCTGAAACTAGGCCATGCTGATGAAGCTACATTTAGCCAAAACTCTGCTCATTGTGTGAGCTGAGTAAAGACAAAGCATGTTCATTTAAAAATAAAAACTCCCCGGCTACACCAGTAACACCGGCTAATCCCTCCTCCTTCCTTCTCTGAACTAATCCTTCCAGGAACACAGGTGGCCCCCGCGGGGGAAAAACATACCAAGATGCTGTTCTGGATAGAACCTCGCAGACAAGGAATGACATTCCTCGCATGCCAGCTACATGCCGTCAACAGAAGCTCTCTGTAAACTTCCCCATCTTATTCCAAGCATCGCTTTGCACCTTTATTTGTGAGACGGATGGTAGCAGTGCAATGCAGCCAAACCAATGGAGGCATTTCCTCTCCTGGATACAGATTAAACAATAGCGGGCCTTGTGTTGTCCGCTCGGGGCACGAAATCACACACGTACGACCGGCTAAGGCGTCCTCCATTATGTTTCGGCTCCAAGGGGCAGAGGGTGCATGGCCGGGCCCCGTGCCAGCCTGTTGAGTGGCAAAGCATTCAGTGGGCAGAGGAAGTTGTGATGTTTTTTTCCCCCGCATTGTGCTCATTGACACTTATAACAGGAGAGGTTGCTGCGATTGTGAATACGGTTTCACACGGAAAGATATCCGGGCAAAAAGAAAAGCTCAGTGATCAGAGTCCCTAAAAAAGGATATTGTTTTCCCACATTTGTTAAAATGTTCAAAACTGTGCATGGGACCAGAGATGCTTATGCTTATGGATTAGCCTGGCGTGGATCTAAATAGGGCTGCAAGTAATGACTGCTATTAATTAATATGACTGGTATTTTCCTGATTAATCAGTTAGTCTATGAAATAGAAGAAAAATGTGATAAACATGACATTCACGATTCCTTAGAAGCAAGGCTCTATCTGACTGTCAATCTAAAACGATCATGGACATATATGACCAAAAAAAACCTGGAACAAAAAAAAAAAGTGTTTTTAATTTTTACTTGACTGATTAATCAACTAAGTGTTGCAGCCCTAAAATAAAGAATGACTATATTGCAGTCTTTTCTGACATGACATGATTTGTAAACCTGTGATTGCAGGAATACCTTGAGTACAGGTTGCTGCCTGACAGCTTTACCTCTAAGATAGGGCTGCAAAAAACAATCAGTGCCATTATGTTCTCAATTCATCGTTTGATGAGTTTGTCTATGAAACGTCAGAGTAGTGACGTCTTTAAATGATTTGTTTTGCCCGACCAAGAGCCAAAAAATGATGTAAAAAAGAAGCAAATTGACAAAACTTTTCATATTTACTGACCTCATTTGCTTGATAAATGACCTAAAATGATTATTAGATTATAAAGAAGGTAGTTGTGACTGTAATTCAGTATTTGTTTCTATTAATTCAGCGTAAATTCAACAGCCCTGGGTGACCCTTAAGTGTG